TGGTATTGAAGATTTACCATCAGATCCTGGTGAAAGAAAAGACATAATGCAGTATCTTGTCCATGAAAGAGATGAGGTTAGATGTAAATATCTAACTAAAGGTCCATGTCAACTTTATAGTTATAAATTTAAAAAAATAGTCAAAGGAGGTTCACTTAGGCGATTCAATCCAACTTAATTTGATCAATATTGCAGTTGGCTAGAGTATAGCATATCAAAAGAAAGAGCATTTTGTTTACATTGCTACTTATTTAAAGATGAGATACGAATTCAAGGTGGAAGTGATGCATTTGTGAAAGAAGGGTTTAATAGTTGGAATAAACCAAAGAGATTTCGTACTCATATGGGTAAACCACCCAAAAGTTTTCATATCATTGCTGCTCAGAAATGTGAGGACTTGATGAATCAAAATCAATCTATAGTACATGCTCTCTTTAAGCAAGATGATAAGGTGAAAAATGAGTATCGTATTCGCTTAAATGCTTCGATTGATGCTGCCAGATTTTTGTTACGACAAGGATTATCTTTTTGTGGCCATATTGAAAAAGAAGAAGCTGGAAAGAAAGGAAATTTCTTGCAGCTTGTGAAATACACAGGAGAACAAAATGATGCCATAAGCAAGGTTATTTTGAGTAATGCTCCAGGAAATAACCAGATGGTTTCTCCAGTAATTGAAAAGGATATTGTCCATTCCTTTGCTGAAGAAGTACGACAAGCTATTTTAGAAGAAATTAATCATGATGTGTTTGGTTTGCTGGTTGATGAGTCTGCAGATGTTTCTCATAAAGAGCAAATGAGTGTTGTTTTTCGATTTGTTGATAAAAGAGGAGCAATCAAAGAAAGATTTATTAGAGTTGTTCATGTAAAAGAATCATCTTCTTGAACTCTGAAGTCTGTTATAGATGATTTGTTTGCTAGATATGGGCTGAGCATCAAAATGGTGAGAGGGCAAGTTTATGATGAAGCTATTAATATGAGAGGTGAGTTTAATGGGTTGAGATCATTGGTTGCTAGAGAAAACAGTTCAGCATATTATGTTCATTGTTTCGCTCATCAACTTCAGCTAGTTGTGGTGGCAATTGCAAAAAAAAACACTTTGATGTTGCTGATTTTTTTGATATGATTTCTACATTGTTGAATGCTGTTGGGGCTTCTTGTAGAAGACAAGATATGTTTCGAGAAATTCAGCGTGAAGATTTAGAAAAAGAATCAAGAGTGGTGAAGTTAAGACTGGGACAGGACAAAATCAAGAACGTACTTTACCAAGACCTGCAAATACTCGTTGGGGTTCTCATCACAAAAAATTGTTGAGGTTGGAAGAATTATTTTCTACTACCATTAAAGTTCTTGAATATATCCAAGAGGAAGGCATGGAAGATGCACAGAAAACGTCTTCTCAAATATTTTCTACTACCATTAAAGGTCTTCTCAAATAATTTCACACAGTTGATATGTGTTCGATTTGCATCTAAAGTTACTAATTTTGGGGCTCACTGCAAATTTTTCATTGGCGTTGTAAGAAGCATCAAGATGTTTTAAACGCTATGTTACTGGTAGAATCTACTAAAAGAGAACTGGAAAAGCTTAGAGATGATGGTTGGGATATGCTTATGGATAAGTAACTTAGTTTTGTAAGAAACATGATGCTGGAATGCTCATTGGAAGAAGATTTTGTTAATACAAGTAGGCCAAGAAAGAGAAGCAGCATAACCAATATGCATCATTATAAGGTAATTTGTTTTTACACAGTTCTAGATTTGCAGATTCAAGAGTTCAATGATCGTTTTACAGAGGTAACCACTGATCTACTTATCTATATGGCTTCTTTAAGCCCGGTTGATTCATTTCATGGGTTTGACAAGGAGAAGTTGATGAGATTAGCTAAGTTATATCCAGATGATTTTAGCTATGGTGAGATTTTATCTCTAGAGCAGAAACTTGATATCTATATCGATAATTACGCAGGCAGAGATGAAAGGTTTAAGAGTGTGGAGAATCTTGGAGATCTTTCTTGTTTGACGGTGAAAACTCAAAACCATATTGCACATCCTTTGGTTTACAGGCTTTTAAAGTTAGTTGTAACTTTACCGGTTGCAACCGCAAATGTTGAAAGATGTTTTTCAGCTATGAAATTGGTGAAAACAGCTGCACGTAGCCGAATTGGAGATCAATTTCTAAGTGATTGTATGGTTTGCTTTATTGAAAAAGAGTTGCTTGACTCAGTTTCAAATGAGGAGGTGATACAAAGATTTCAAAGAATGAATGAACATAGAATTGTTTTGTAAGAGTTGTTTTTATCATATTTTGGTGGAGTTTTTTTAGTTGCAAACTTAACAAAAAATAATTTTTATTTTAATAAATTATGTGTTATATTTTTTTCCCCATAATATTTATTTTCTGGATCCGCCATTGGATCAGTGTATGTGGTGAATCCTCTTTCTCTGTACTGCTGTTGCAGCAAGACATTGCTGGAATGGAATGTAGAGAATATATTTTCTAGTAACTCTTTCTCGGTTACTTTTTCACCACATAGTCTCATCTTTGAGAAAATTTTAAACAATACTGAATTGTATTCATCCACAGACTTATAGTCTTGGAATTTGAGATTTCTCCACTCATATCTAGCCTTTGGTAATAGCACCGTTTTTTGGTGATCATATCTCTGTTGTAAGGTGGTCCAAAGGTCTAGTGGATTCTCTATTGTAAGATACTGATCTTTGAGACCTTTTGCAAGATGATGACGAATGATACTTATTGCCTGGTATATATTCTTGGCATTCTCATCATTATTCTCGATGATAGTCTCACTGAGTCCCTTTGACCTCAGACAAATCTTAGTATACAATGCCTACTTTAAATAATTTTCTCCAGCGAGATTAAGGGCATCATAGTCTAGATTGCTTATTTTCGACATCTGAATCAATCACAATCAGATTTTAGGGTTTCATAAATTAAACAAGTCATGTACTTGAAACCAAATAAGAATATCGATCAAACAATTCTATATCGATCATGGTACGATCAAACAACCTAGGGTTCTGAGTTCTATATGTAATAAGGTTATAAGCCCGTATGGCCATGACATATGATGCAATCACTTCTGGTTTCTATCAATCATATGCAAGCAATGAACTTTAGAAATCAGTAACCAAAAACGGATTCTATATATTAGGTTTTAGGGTTTGCAAAATTAGGGTTTATCAATCCTAAACAATTCTATCAATAGGATTTGGGTTTTCCAATGCAATTAAAACAATAACTAACCGGATTAGGTTTTAGGGTTTTACTAATGCAAGCAAACTACCCGGATTAGGGTTTAACAAAATTAGAGTTAGCAAGATGCGCCTAAGATTTCTAAGGTTTCTAGATTAGGGTTTAATTCATAACAATTAAACATTCTTTAGCTAATGATTTCTTAAAACATCCAAAAAATTCGTAAATCTAGCAATCAGATTTAGCAAAAGATGATTTAGGGTTTTCAAGGCCCTTTTAGGGTTTCAGATTAAAAATTAGGTTAAAAATAAAATCTATCAGCCTAAACCTCAAATCATCAAGCAAAACCAATCAATAATCAACAATCAATCCATCAGATTTATGAATTAGGGTTTAAACAATCCTAAGCACCTAGGTTCTAAATTTTATCAAAACCTCAAAAACAATCAATCAAGCAATCAATCAAACATATTATTGGTTCCAACTATCAGTCTAAACAAAACCAGTCAACCTAGCAATTCTATTTGCAGCTTCTAGGGTTTCTTATTTAGGGTTTTGATTCTTTAGGTTTTAGAGAGATTAATCGGAGTACCTTAGATTGATGTGTACCGGACAACCTTAGAGAGATCAGGAACCGCGGTTGTGCTTGAATCAGAGCTGAGCCGGATCGTATGCGTGCTTTGCGGTACACCTATCAATCTAAACAAAACCAGTCAACCTAGCAATTCTATTTTCAGCTTTTAGGGCGACTTATTTATGGTTTTGATTCTTTAGGTTTTAGAGAGATTAACCGGAGTACCTTAGATTGATGTGTACCGGACAACCTTAGAGAGATCAGGAACCGCGGTTGTGCTTGAATCAGAGCTGAGCCGGATCGTATGAGTGCTTCGCGGTTGAGCCATATCGTGGTCAGGATTTGTTGTAGATCTCGGATTAGGGTTCTTCGGATATGTGGTTTGTGCCGGAATTGAAAGAACCAAAAGGGGCGGCCGTTTGACTGCAAATTAGGGTTCATTGGCTGAGAAAAGGAAAAACATGGAGGCGGCTGGTATGGTGCTCGCTGAGAAAAGGAAAAGAACTAGGGCTTTCGCGGTGGAGCTTTGCCGGAAAAGGAAAGAACTGGTGGCTGTGCTGGGGTTTCTTTTGGTCGGATTTTAGCTAGGGTTTTGAGAGAAAATTCGTGTTAATAATGTGTTGTAAATAAATGAGAGAGTAAAGGGAAATTGCTTGTATTATTATTTAGCATAAGGCTCCATATATATATATGGGTTACAAGAGATAGATAAATAGAGATTACACAAATCTTAATCCAACTAGAAATAGGAAAATTACTAATACATAGAAAAGGAAATAAGGCATAATGGCCGCTTGTGTCTATCTTGGATTGGGCCTATGATCTAAGCTATGGTTATGGCCCATCCACTATAAGAATTATAACTTTTTCTGTTTTCTCTTTTTTTTTTCTTCTTACTCACCCAATTACTAATTGGCCAATCAATGTATGAAGGCACAAAACCACAAAAAAACTAGCAAATCTTAGTGATATTCCTTCTTTTTACTGAAAATGAAGATGAGATTACACTTGAATCACTTTAAAAGCTGTAATTGTGTAGGAGGACCAAGTTCCTGGAACCTTAGAGCAATCTAACAGCTAATGCAACAAATGAAAAGAAGAACCAATCTCCTGAAATTTTATATATTAATCATAACTAATAAGCCTTGTGTGTTTATTATACCCTGGCCAACTCCAACATATCTCCCGGTAAACACTCTCTATTCACTTTCTTTTAACAGCTCATAACGGTGCAGTTGTAAACGAAATTAACCAACTGTTTCTTCCCAAGTAAATGCCACTGTGGTGTACCATCACTTGGAACCCATGAGTTAAGCTCAATGAAACCTTCACCTGGAGCCTTTGGTCCACCAATCACTATGACCTGATCCCCACAAGCTCTAAACGCCAAACCCCAACCGTTCATCGATCCCGCTTGCTCAGGTAAACTCCCAACTATTACCCAAACCCGTTTCTCCTTATCATACCTTCTAACCGTCATACCGGCATGATCAGCCGCGTAAATCTGATCATTCACAACCGCTACAAGCGGTGGAGCCATCGCAGCCGCAGACATTCAGTTCCCTTGGTTAGACCTCGGAGGAGACAAATCAGGAATCTCTCTCCACTCCCTCGTCTTTAAATCATACTCTTCACCACATGTCAAAACCTTTGGCTCGTTCCCTTCCCCAACACCAATCCCACCAAACACATAAAACTTCTCATCCATAAACACACCGGAACACATTTTCCTCCGCTTGTTCATCTCCGGTAACACCGACCATGTCTGATCGTCGTAGTTATACATCTCTGCAGTACCAAGAATCTTACTGTTGGAATCGCAACCTCCTGCTAAAACAGCAATCTCTCCGTAGCTAGCAGATGCAAACAAGCATCTAGGCATGTTCATACTCTTCCCCGTTGACCAAGAGTTAGTCAAAAGACTGTATCTATAGATCACATAAGAGCTCACTTCCCAACCAAACACAAGCAAATCATTTCCGACAGCGAGAGATTCCTTGTCTGAGTACCTAAAACACTCGTTCTGCGGCATACTCGGCAAATGCATTCACCGTTTCGACCTCGGGTCAAAAGCTTCCCACTCGTTGAGATGGCACGAGAAGTACACCTAATGCTCGAGCATCCCTTGTAACCTCCTGAGCCTATAAATCTCTCCGGTTCGAATCAGATTCCATAGACTTCGACTCACTGAAGCAATGGAGCAGTAATCAGCTCGCGAGCAACGAAGCAAACAGCTTATGGATTCGTCTTTGTTCATCCCTGGGATAAACGATCCTCCTGAATCTGAAGATCCGTTTTCTCCTCCGTTGTTGCTGCTGGTTGAGCATTCATCGTCAAGATTCAAGAACTTGGTGAGCTTGTGAATCTTCTTCTTGTGGCTATGAAGATCGGTCTCGTCGTCGCTGTTGAGAAAATAGCGTTTGCCAGAAAGAGAAAAGCTCCATTGGGTTTCGTTATGGCTTGGCATGACGAAAATTGTTGAGACTAGACAAGAATCTCGTGGACGACTTTCAACCATCTTGTCTGAAAAATCAAGAAACTGGTTCTTTTCTTCAGCTTGGATTCGAGCTATTAACCAGAAACAAGCACAACATCAATTCCATTAGGACAATTACAATATAACATTCTTGTAAGAACAACAAAAAGCAATGGAGTATCGTAATAGAAGATGGTGCTGATTGATTAGATGATGAGAAAAACAAAAACAAAAACAAAAACCAAATTAAAAACAATGAAATTTAATTAACTAAAGTTCTCTCTCTTTTTCTATTTGTTATCTTTCATATACCTTAATGCTTAAGCTTCTCTGCAAATCAGAAGACGCTAATGGGATTGTAGACAAAAAAAAAAGTGTTTTAATAAATATTTATCTAATTATTCTGTACTGTTTTACTGTTTTAGACTTTTAAGCAATATTGATAAATATTTGTACTTAAATTCTTCTTTACTTCATTACTGATCATAAGTGTAATCCAATACCTCGAATCTAACCATGATATTGCTTCAATCATACTAAACTGTATTATAAACTAAGTACAAAACTCTTATCACTTTTATTTTTTACATTCAATTTCATCAATACTTTATCATCAAAATAGTTTATAAACTACGATCGTACTTTTTCCTTTCTTGGGACATGGGTGGTACCAAGAATGTGGATGATTGTTTATTGAATTAATTGCTGTAAAAAACAATACATTCAAGTTGGATAAGGACGAATATAACGATTGGTCAAAAAAAAGGACGAATATAATGTAATCACCGGTGGGTTGTTTGTTTTCCCGGCGATAATACGACGGATCCGCTAATTTTTGTGGTAAAATAAAGACCTGGTTCGACACGTGTCGTCACCCCCTTCCATAAGCCTGACTTCATCAGTTCTTTTTAAGTTTCTTACTCTTTGACTGTATCAGTAAAAAAACAGCTAGGAACAGGCTGGAATAGCTTAGGAGCGAGAGTCCGATACACCTGGTGCTGCAGGGGATCCACGTATATAAAATATTCGAAATTTGAGGGACGTTTTGTATTTGAAATTCAGTGGGATGTAATGTAAATGTATGATGTTGTTAAATGAACCCCTATTAATCACATGAGTCATGACGATGATCGTTTTTACACCTAACATTTGACTTTCTGTTGGAAACTCAAAACATAGTTTCATGTTGAAATCTTCCGATAATTTTATATGTACTCGTGCTTTTACAAGATAGAGCAGTTTTTCAACTAACACGAATATAGTCCCGACAAACTATTACATGAGTAGACAGAATTCACAATTTACATTCCAAGTTATGTAATAAACCCCAACATTTCTATGGTAGGTAGTTATATAACTTATATTGCTTGTATATTTAATATCACGAGTTCATGGATGATGTCATGTTCTCTGAACTTGGGTCAAGTTATGCTGAAGATCTAGCTTTGTATGATAGAAAGCTTTCCAAACAGTTGATTATGTATCTTAAACACAAAATTAGTCAGCTGTGAAGGTAAGGATGAGGGTCACACCAATTTATTAAATCAAATTAGGATATTGTAAAAAGTTATTTGAGCATATCGAACAATATATGTTTAAGGTAAGTTTTTATGTCAGGATTTGTTCATCAAATTGCTTATAAAACCGAACTTCAATTTTCTTTAGTATCAATAACAAATTCTAAGAAAATGCAGGTTGGAAACAGTGCTAAAGACTCAGTGATGTTATTAACTTTCATACTTCTATTTTCTTGTCTGTAATAATTTTCTTATACCAAGTGGTAAAATTACTATATTTTGTTTGCTCCATTAATTAAGTAATTTTATTCTAATATACACCTAACTGAATGCTCAAAAAACTTTCTCTCTCTAGGGATTTTTTCTCTCTAGAGAAAAGGTTTCTTTTCTTGGTTACCTCAACAAGAAAAGCACACTTTTCACCCTTAATCATTACGTTTTTTGTATCTGTTCTATCTCAATCCTCTCCTTGATATCCTAAACAAGACACAAACTCTGCGTATTCCATCTTTTTCTCAGACACGAAAGTTCTAAACCCTTCGCTTTCTTTCTTAACACCTCTATTTAAACCACTGTCACAGAGACCTTTCTTCATCACATCCCATAATCCTAAAATCATGTCTTCTGAAATGGACAAAGCTCTTTTATCTCTTTCTCTAAACGACGATGACGACTCTCCTTTCAATCTCCCTAACCTTCCACAATATTTCGCCACAGAAAGAAATGCATGCAGTCTCATCGGTCGTCTTCCCAACCCAGAGAAGCAGAATCTCGCTAATCTGATCCTAGAAATGCCAAGGAAATGGCAGATGGTCAACCGTGTGCGTGGAATCGCCCTTACCAGTGAGAGATTTCAATTCATCTTCATGCATGCACACGATCTATATGATGTTCTTGAGAAAGGCATGCATACCTTTGATGACTGGGGTCTTGCGATTGAGAAATGGGTGGAAAATCCACCGATCACATACCTTCAGTCAGTCTCTATCTGGGTCAGAATCAGCAACATACCGGTCAACCACTACACGAAAGAAGCCATCACGGAGCTAGGTGAACTCATAGGCCATTTCCTAATCGTAGCCTTCGATCCAGAGAAATCACAAAGGCAACACTATGTTAGAGTAAAGATACGCATTGGAGTCACTAAGCCCTTGAAGAAATCAAGAATCCTCAATCTCCCCAGAGGTGGTCAGACTACTATCTTTTACTTCTACGAGAGGGTTCAAAAGAGATGCACTCATTGCCAACGTCTGACACATGCAAAGGAAAGATGCCCTCTATGGTTGAATCTCAACATGCATGCATCTTCCTCATCTAGATCCGCTATTACACCAAGCTTGAAGCAAAAGCCTAATATCTCAGAAGATGACCCTCTTTTTGGAGTGTTAAATGAAGATCAAGTTGGTAACCATCCACTTTCAGGAAGACCTCCTATTGCACCTGAATTTCTTCAGGAAATGCGTAACTACCTTCTCGCCTCAAGTCAAGAAGATCGCCATGTAAGGGAACAAAGAGTTATCTGCAGTGTCAAAGAAGCAGCAAGTAATCCTATTACTCAGAGAACTACTCTCCAACTACTTCTTCCTCCAATCTTCACCACTCAGATTGACAAGGGAAAAGGAATTGTTTTTGATTATGCAAAGAAGGATCTCTACTCTCCCTCAGATGAATCACAAACAAAACTCAATTATGTCCTTGATACTAGATGTCAATTATGTGGTCTTGAAGGTGAGTCAATCAATCATGTACTATTTTCTTGTTCGGCAGCAAGACGCTCTTGGGCGAACAGCGGTTTCCCTCATCCATTATCTGGCTTTGATCCTAATTCTGTCTATTCCAACATAGCATATGTTCTACAGACAGGGAAGGATCAAAGAATTCCAGAAAACCTTAGAAGATGTGGACCATGGATTATATGGTCCATTTGGAAGAACCGCAATTCCTTCCTATTTCATCATCTATTCTACAAGGGACAGAGCTTCATTAACAACATCTTTCAAGAAGCAGATCACTGGTTCCAAGTTAAATCGCTTGATCTTAAAGAGAAAGCTATTGATCTGGAAAGAAGGAAAAAGATGTTGTTTGGTTGGAAACCACCTCCCCCCCCCTTTGGTAAAATGTGAAATAGGTACATCTTGGGATAAAAATAAGAAACAGAGTGGTGCTGCTTGGAGTTTGCGTGATCAACAAGGGAATGTCCTTCTCCACAGTCGACAATCCTTCACTGGAATTCATTCCAAGATTAATGCATCTTTCGAAAGATGGAAATGGGCTATCGATTGTCTAAAAACGATCAATTATGATTCCCTCTTGTTTGTGGGAGATGATTCTGACCTTATCAACGCTCTAGCTAAGCCAACTTCTTGGCCATCTCTGAAGTATTTCTCTTCTCAGCTATTGCCAATGCTTCAAAGATTTAATGCTTGGAAAGTCAAACTCCACTCTCCGAATGATATCAAAGGAACAAAGCTCATTGCGGAAAGTGTCACCAATCAAAATCGTTTTCAATCTTATATCTCTAGAGGTTGTCCTTCTTGGTTATCACACTTGTATCCATAGGTTATGGATTTCAAATAGCTCCATTGTATCACCTTCTTGTTCTATATAATATAATGTTAAAAAAAAAAAAATCTAATATACACCTAACTAAATCAAATTATTTTAGGTAATAGATATAGTCATAGTAACTAAGTGTTTATTTTTTATAATTTCCCATTTGGCACTTCGTTTGTCTGAGTTAATGTAAACTTTCTAGTTTCGGTTTTTTCTTACTAATATTGTATATTATATTAGTTATAGAGAAAATGACTAGGATAGCACTAAAAATTTTGTTGTCACAAATATAACACTTAAGAATAAAAATGATCAAAATAGCACTTAATATTTTATCAAAAGAGATAAATATACACTTACATCCCAATGATAAATTAATTTAGACATTAGGATTTAGAGTTAAGGGGTGGGATTTAGGGTTTAAGGTTTAGAGTTTAGGATTTAGGATTTAGAATTTAGGTTCTAGGGTTTAGAGTTGGGGAGTGGGGTTTTGGGGATAAGATTTCAATTTTTGAAAAAAACAAAATAGTTTTTGAGTGCTATTTTTGTGACATAGACTTAAAAATGTGCTATTTTGGAGATTTGCCCTTAGTTATATTAAACATGCATGTAAGAAATTTTCTATTAAAAACATCTCATATAGATATTTCACAATAGGAAAGGAAACTTATAAAATTAAAGTGATTTTTTTTAGAACTAAATTAAAGTGAATTGAAGAGAATTCCACACAAAGAAATCCATAATGAGACACTCACCTTTTATGAATGTTTTGACTTTATTTTAGTTAAGACAATTTTTATAACTAATTTACATTAAATTACCACTATTTGTTTGTTTGAAAGTTCCTTAAGAGTTCTAATAAATACAAATGGTTTTAAGATGGTTTCTATGGCATGGGTCATTGACCTCCGTCTAGTATATTTGACGTTAACCTTAAACTTTTTGGAACAAGTAACAACTATGATCTAGACT